ACTAGTGACTTAAACGCGAAGGCTGGCCAGCTAGCGACTTACACAAAATCACGCGACCCGACCGACTCCCAAGCAAGGGTTAAGAGAGAAGAAAGACAGGCGGTCCTCTGTAGGCTCTTTTACGACCAACAAAGGGCGAATCACAGCCAATGCTATGGGTCATTAAGTTAGGGAAAACAGTCACCACGAAGAGATGGTAGTTTGTAAATGACCATTGTCAAAAGGTGCGCAGTTGGGCCGCGACTCGGAGTGGCTGAGCGCTGCTGCGTTGTGAGGAGGAATTGAACCTCACTTTCCACAGCCATTCGGCCGGGGTTTCTGGCGCGATTTTGCGGGAATATTTGACGTGCCCGCAACAGTTGTTTACATGGTATGGTGAATTATTTGAGCCGTTTCTTGCCAAGGTTTGCTGAAATCATGACACATATCCGGAGACTGACTCACAAAGATGATAAGTAGAGTTGGGAAGAAGAGCTGGAGGCAGCCTTTACAACCATCAAGCGTCTTATTAGCTGTGCACCAGTACTTGGTTATTATGATCCAGCTCTACCTTTGGAGCTGCAGTGTGACAGCAGCCAAACCGGAATAGGCGCCGTTCTGCAGTTTGGTAAACCCTTAGATTTCCGTAGTCGGGCGCTCGCAGTGGCGGAACAGCGCTATGCACAGATCGAGAAGGTGCTCGCTGTCGACTACGCAAAGAAGCGATTCAACGACTGCATGTTTGGAAGGAAAGCTACAATGTATACTGACCATAAGTCGCTGGTGTCAGTAGCTTGTAAACTGTTACACAGTGTCCCTCGACATCTTCAACATCCGGCTCCAAAAATACGACATGGATCTGGCGTACACTCCGGGGACGCAAATTATCGCGGACACTGTCGAGAGCACATCTTCAGATAGCCGAACCCCAACCGGAAGAACTCGAGGCAGTTAGTCTGATACAGCATCTGGCGGTAACGCCGGGTCGCCTGAAGGATAACGCGTCATGCGGATGCAGGCAAGACGTGCGTGACGTTGCATTAGGTCATTTTGTGCTGATGGCCAGATACGATGGATAAACTTCCGAAGGAATTATTGCCGTTCTTTCCTGATGAATTAACGATGTATGACAGTTTGTTGTTTAAAGGAAATTGCATTTTGATCCCACCTCCGCTTCGCAACTAAATGCTTGAACACACTCATTGAGCCCATTTGGGTGTCAACTACAATATTAGTACAGCACGCGAACTGTTGTTCTGTCTCCGGATGACAAGTCAAATCTGAGACCATGAATCAAGCTATTCAGCCTGCTGGTTCCACGAGGCTCGCCAAGCCAGGGAACCAATGATGCTGCGTGAGATTCCAGATCGATCATGGCAGTAAGTAGCGGTGGACTTGTTCTGTGGCAGCGGGAAAGACTATTTAATCACTGTGATCTATTACAATTACTATTTTGTGATCGGTTCACCTACAGTTACCACCACGGAAGCGGTCATCAACAAGTTTAGATGTCAGATCGCCAGACGCGGAATACCGGAGGAAGTGATCTCCGACAATGGCCTACAGTTTACAAGTACTGTGTCCCAGGCCTTCGCGAACAACTGGGTATTTTCGCATCGACAAACGAACCCGTATCACAGCCAGTCTGACGGAAAAGCGGAGACAGTGGTCAAACAAGCCAAGAGGCTGTTGTCCAAAGCTAGAGCCACTCATGAGGACCCGTATCTAATGTTGGAGATTCGCAATACGCTATTACCGAACATCGGTCCAGTGCTACGTTTGTACAGCAGAAGGACAAGAACCCGAATACCCTGTCTCGCCATCGCATGATCAACTGCAAAGCGGTTTAAGAAAACGCATGGCAGATCAGAAACGGTATTACAACCGCGGGACCTGAGCGCTACCGGAGCTATGAGTAAACCATTAAGTGTAGATCCAACCAATACCGGGTGTCGGCGAACTATGGAAGAAAGGTGTGGTGACCGCGAAGTTTGGAAAAAGTTCTTATGAAGTCAGTACCGGAGGGAAGGTAATCAGAAGGAATCGAGTGCAGCTGAGGTGACGCCGGGAACGAGAATGTAAACCTGCAACAAAGCACTTGACGCCTTACAGAGAGGTCACAACAACAAAGGCAACAAAGACGGCGCTGAGCGTAAGAGCGTACGGAGTCGTCTGCGACACCGATGCAGCTGATCCTAAAAACGGGAAGGAGGTGATAGGATTGTGCAAGCAAGCTGATAGCTTGCCGCAACCAAACAGAGCAGTTGATTGGACGCCTGCTCATATTTTGTCTACGCGCTAATTGGTTCGCCGGAGCGGGTTTGTTTTACTGCTTCAAAGGAAAAATCTCATGTTCGCAGCAGCGTCATTAGTCATGGAAATGACTACATTCTTGTAAGGCTACCATTGTCGCTGAGCTTCCTTTGTCGAACAAACCGTTTGCCCCTGAAGGATGGAGTTCTACGACATTGCCTACCTGCCTATTACCCACCACCTCCATTACTAGCTCCAGGAGACAGTTGGTCCTTGCTGGGGGACGGGGTGCACGGGCATCGTGGACGTGCTAGGCTGGAAGAGTGGTTCCATGCCACCAGTTTGGAGCGGACTACGGTCCAGCCACCGCCTTGTGTGCGCTTCACTCCCCAAATACTGCGTGTTTGTTTTTGCCTGAGAAGAAGTGTGGGCCGGCTCCGTTGATGAAACCTGGCTCCCATCTACATTCCTCTTGGCCTTATTCCTTCGGGTTTACACTGGATATGGGATGTGTGGTTGGAGCTGTGGGTGGTACAGCGCAAGCTACCCATGGTCCCTCTGTAGACGCCGGCGTCCTGTGACTGTCCTCGAGGAGGCCACAGTGACAGGCACATTGGGAACGGGATGCCGTCAAGTGATATACATATATATATATATATATATATATATATATATATATATATATATATATATATATATATATATATATATATATATATGATTTGGATTGGCGCCACTTGTGTCCGGATTTGCCTGTCACTGTGTCAGACAGCAGACGGTGTGCCATAGCTAAATTAGAAGAAAACTATAGAACGAATAAAAAGTGTTTTACATGTTTCGTTTTTAGTTTTTTTTGCTTTTTCGATCAAGAATTAACTATGATATGCTACTGGTATGGGTTGCAACCTCTGGGAGCACGTGTCGCATGATCCCTAGCCTGGAATACCGTAGGCCCTGACTTTAACAGACGCGTGACTGTGCAGTTCTTTCAGAATTCTTACAAACTTGTGCGAACAATACTTCAAAACATCCTTATTTGCTGAATCAAACGCCCTTTCGATGCCCAAGAGCACTATGATTGTTGCTCGTCGGCGGACATGGCGGAATTCGGGGAGTTGCCGGATGGTGGAGATTCGATCGACGCAACGTCGCGGACGAAAACCGGGTCGTTCATCTCGGAAAATCTCTTTATAGCCCCTAAAAGCGTACAAAATAGGACGAACACGAAATTCCATTGTAATTAGCACAATTTTCGCGAGAGCCTTTCTTGTGGATTGGCGCAACTAACTCCCCATGAATTAAAACCCTTCTCATCAGTCCATGGTTTCGTGTTCAGCGGTAAGACTTCTTTGAAACCCCCACCGTCTTTGTGTAGTTGACCAGGGTTTATGGCGTTTCAAAGATTGGGTTGCATTGCGGATCTCCTTCAATATGGGAGGATCTGTAGGGACAGGCCAAACACCATCCGCTGGAATTGGGAGTGTCACTGAGGACTGCGCTGGGTAATTAAATCGAAGAGCAAAATGCTCTGCCCAGCTATCTAAGCGTTCGCATAGGTTTGAAATTTTCGTGCCGACTAACTCGTGGATTGTGTGACTGTTATCGTATGAATTGCAACCGATAGTCTTGAAAAGGCAAAAAAAACTGTGGCAGTTTCCAACCATTGCGGTGGCCTCCATCTCAGTAACTCCTTTTGACCACCAGGATTCACGAACAGAGCGAAAGCTTGACTTCAGCTGTTGCGCACCGGCGGGTACGGTCCTTCAATGATCTATCAGTTTCGAGAGCGTTGCCGTGATCTAGCTTTTAGCCGTGCAGCGGGCGAGATCACAGCTGGACAAACCTGCAGACAGCGTGGCTTGTTGCAAGCCTGACCAATCCTGGTTAATATCCAGACGATGTGAGATAGAGGGTTTCCCGGAGCATCTGTTGATACTCCATTCGCATCTTCAGATCTTCCCATTTGTAGAACTACGGTCGGGTTTGTTTTATTGTAGATGAGCCACCGAAACAGATGTAGACTGTAGCACACACCAATACATGACGGGTTTCGACACAAGTTGCCCTATATGACCGGCAGTTTCGTATGCTGCCGCGCCACCTACGACTTATGGCTACGTGGGCAGTTCGCGACCAACTCTAGTAGAGTGCTGGAGGACCCCGAGTAGTATAGTGGCGTCCAGCGTGACGAAAGCTCTTTGTTGAGAGAAAAAGCTGATGTGCAGCACGGAGACTGATCATTCTCCGTTGTCAGAGCGATAATCATCATATCCATGCGGTTTCCCAAGGTGGCGTTCACACGGCAGCAGTCGATCGACACCTGAGTTGAAATCTCCTGCCATAATGATTAACCCCGTTTTAGGCGCCCTCAGGAGTGGATTATGAAGGTTTTGATAAAGCTGGTCTTTGACTGTATCTGAACTATGGTCAGTAGGCGCGTAGAATGAGATAACAAAAACAGCGCTCTTGTTGATTCCATTATCCTATAAATAGCGTGTGGCCTCGTTGCAGACGGATTTTGGCCCCAGCCCCAGCGCTTGTTCTATTTTGGGAGAGCTGTACAACGCCACTGCACCTGTTATTTTTATATCGGCGGTATAATTGCGTTTCGCCGTTTGAGTGGTATCCTCGTCATATCCATCACACATATCTGGCTGTTGCACGCCTCATTCTAACTTTATTACTGCCAAGTTGAGAACTGTTTATGCTTTGCTTGCCTACATGATCACTGGCCTTTATGACTGGCTTGATCTTTTGTCCATACTCAGCAAAGGCGCAACCGCAATCGAACGGATCACGAATTCTTGGAGATTTCAGACTCCGACGAAACAGATTCACCGTTGTCCATCGAGGAACTCACCGCATTCGGGAACATATGCAACGATACTGGTACCGCAGCTTTTTGGCACCCGATCCCCGAAGTATGTGCGAAGTGGAGGGAGGCCGCTGACTCCTCCGGTCCAAAGATTGAATGGGCTAATGATTGTATGTTCATTCATGGATTTGGACCAGAGGACCGACAGTCGTTTGCCAACGCGGTTATGCGGTGAGTATAATCGCTGGAGACAATCACAATTTCACCATATCCACTCTTGATACCCACCACTAATCCGTGAACCTTCCAAATAGCGTTCATTTACTGCCATTTATAATGTCAGCTTGGTCCTCTGCTCCTGGTTTACATCAACTGTGGTCGAAATGTCGCTCTGTTTCCATCTCAGCTTTGGACTGCCACCCCCAGGTGTTATCCCACCGCAGGATTGGTTGCCTCCGAATCTATTATTCAAGGACCCTGCAAGGCTTCACGCATACTCAACTTTGTTCATGCAACATCTGTTCGAGGATCCAAATGCGATGGACGATTCAACTGAATAGTGAGTTTCGCCAATTTGTTTTCTTCACTTTTCAACTTAGTTGAAACTTCTAAGCTTTCTTCAGCTGGGTATCCTGTTGGATTTTTTCCTCTAGACTTTAAAAAGCATATTTTCCCTACAAATTAACGAAGAGTAAATGTGTGGTTGCTGCAACCACGACCAGGGCGGAAACCATCGTGGCCTTCAGTGATTCAGCCAGTAACTCGTCAAAGAATGGTACATTTGTGAAGTTTGGAGGCAATCGAAATGAGACAAATGCCTCGGTGATTTTCGCACAAAGTCCGTTGATGTTTTTTGAAGATGGGTACGACCTTTGTCAACCGCCAGTTTGAATGCCCCTTCTTAGCGTCACAACTAATGTCTAATAAAGCAACAATCCCAGTCAACAGCCGCCATCTTTCGGCCAAGATGGAGGAAGGTCGCCGGGTCCATGACGCTTGCTTCGTTACGACACGGCAAGCTTATACCGATTCTTTTCCAAAGTGGATATTATGACATCGACTTCCCGCATCGGCTCAGATGATTCATCAAGCGGCAGTGTCCCAGCAGGCCTGCTGAACCGGTCTTCCAAATATTCCACTAAACAGACTAATCGACGAGGCTACGAATCGATTAACCGTCCATCATTCTCAGCCATTGTCTCAATAACTGAGGGCATTCTTGGACCTATGTTCTGGATGAGCTAGAGTAGTACTTAGCTGCTCCAAATAGCACTGGCTCTCCTTCTCTCATGGGTCCTTGCAACTCACCAACCTTTCCGGCCAATTCTGAGATTTCTTGTCAGTTGTCGTTTTAAGGCATTTGGGACACTCTAAAGCCCAATACCCATTGGGTCCAGTTTGCGTGCCTCGGAAATGCACTCCTAATTCGCACTTCTCATGTTGGGTGTACCAACGATACGAAGCCTAAACTAAGTCCGCCATACGAAAGCTAAACTGGAAACTACGGACAAATAAACCTAGACAACGCACGGTCTGGGCAGAAGAATAAGACGAGTTATGCTGTAACCGTGGTTCTATAAGACATTAAATGCAGTACATGACTTATGAATAGGTTTTGCAATTGTAATGCAAGTGGGCAGAAACTGTACAGCGTGTGGCGGAGCAAGTATTTGGGCAGTGTCACAGTAACATAATAATATTAATGGCCTTGAAACGTCAAGGATATGTCAGTGATCGAGTGAAAGGAATAAATATACGATATGGTAACCGCTTGTACGACACTTTAAATCAATGTAAATGAGCAGAATAATTAGGGAATAGTGACATCGTGTCCTCATGTAAACAATCCAGGTTGGGGATACATCAAAGTTTCTTTTGGACTTTGCACTGGGTGTACAACAGTTTTCATAATTATTCCTCATGTCACATTTAAAACGTCTCCGGCTCACAAGCCTCACTCCTATTGGCACTGGTGGGCCAATTTGTTATAATCTTGCTGAAGTACGTACTGCGAGTTTAATTTACCAGTGTGGGTGCGTCGCTTTTACGAAGTGAGGAGGGTGAGCGCCAGATGTTCGAACACTAAAGTATGGTGTAAATCCAGCCACTTATTCCAACTTGAACCGTGTGCGTCGTCTTTACCCGACAGTAACATGGTTAGCTTAGGTCCAAATCTTCGAGGAATTTGATTGGTGCCATCGTCATCATAATGGTACACGTTAGCTAGAGGTGGAAAGCACCGCAGCTATTGTGTCGCAGTACAAATCATGCAACAGGTTTGCATGTGACTTAAACCTAGAGGACCAACGCCTATCAAAGCATGGTGACGGAGGTCCAATATTTGGAGGGTTGTAAACGGGAGGATACAAATGAAGTTGGAACGGTACGGTAAGGATGAAAAAGCCTAAAAAGTGTGAATAAAAAGACGGAACTGCTTGAGCATTTACATTCAAACCTCTATGCACCCGGGTTGATGCAGTAGATGGGGCACCGTTAATTAACTGCGACAGCTGGAGCATCAGAGAATTGTTTGAAGGGAAATTCTTTGTGTTGTGTGGGTCGGATACTTTCAGATTTAGTCAGGAGGGGGTGATATGAGTTCTCAACCAAAGCGTTTGGTTCAAAAACCTGACCACAATGCAACAGACTTGACAGTGTGCTACAGAGAGTCCGTTTTAGGGAATAAGAAGCCACCCTCTTTCCAACCCCCAATCTGGAAGGTCAGGATACTATGTTTATCTGGCCTCTAACCATTGACCAATCTTGTATAAGTGCCTCTGAAGGTGCACGAAGCACCACTCAGCATAGCTCAATGGATCGTTTAGACACACAAACCATCACACCGCGGTAAGGTCTAGCCTCACTGCCAGGAGACATGTAAACATCTATACTCGAATGCAATGTTGTTAATATGTTACACACCTGTGCTTACGGACAGCCACAGGGGGGAGTTAACGTTTTGACACCAATTTGGCCTAGGGGTGCATGGCTTAAGCTAGGCGGTAGCAAACGATTAGACACCGGGCGTTTCTCTCCGACCGTCAGAAGCAATACATGTCACTTGTGTTCCACACCAATCATGCCATTAGCTTATAACCCATCACCCTTTGTCTCTCATGTTTTAAAGGTATTCCTTCATTGATCTGCTCCAAATGTCCGAATAGTTGCTTTGATCCCTAACCCTTAACCTCTCTGTTCTAACTCCTGAGGCATTTGGAAAGTGTAGCTCAGTGGGTCACGTAATTATACAGACCATCGCATCACATTATGGTCCAATCCGGTCGCGATGACTAACGAATGCAAACGGTACAGTCATCAGTCTTCCTTTTAAAATCGGGATTGACGCTATTGTCTCTGCTTCATGGGAACGTGGCTGGTCGAGCGATGCGCAACTTGATTTTTACTTCCTCGTGTATTTTTGGTTTTGTGGTTTTCACCCTGATCTTTTTGGCGCGGACTACGTCACCAAAGGGGGACATTCTTCCTCTGCTACTTTATTGATCTGGACAAACAAATAAGACTGGTTGCACCACGTTTGGCTCGGCCACTTGCTTCCTAGTTCACCAACAGTTTTCTCGCTTGGGTCCCATCCATCTTGCTGGGTGTTTGATATCACGAAGTTTACGTTGAATTATCACTGCTCTTTCAGTGGAAAGAAAATCGCTTTCTGTCAAACTGTATGTTGGTGTACCATCCACCTTTTCAGATAGGGTTGCACGCAACATTTTCCTTAGCTCGAGACATCACAGAACATTGACTCACAACCGATATCAGCGTTTGATTGTTATTTCCGAGTCGGACTACCTATTTAAAGAGTAGGTGATGCTTTTTGGCGTGTGGTCTTAATACTGGTTCCCTACTGTTTACAGCGATGATGGTGATAGCACCACATATGAATGCTCATATCTGGATGCTTCTACAATACTTCGTTGAATGTATCTACTTGCCTAGTTACCTTCTTTTACCGGATTGTTCTAAGTTACATCCAGCGTTCTCATCCAATCGTGTGACCTCCGGGTTGCAAGGTAGACATGTGATCCTTTCGGCCAAGGGCCGAAGGTGGACACTTGGTTGTCGGGACTTTACTCACAACTAAATGCACTTTGTGCTTTTTGTCACTTAGACTCCATTGCGGTGCTCGCTTTCGCGTTTTACACCCCACCATTTTTGCCTCATCCGGTTTTTACTACTTCTTTTGACCCATTTTCTTACAGTTGGTCGGACGGACTCCCGAAAGAACAGCTGTGTGCGTCTGCCGTTTTGGCTCGCATTGGTATGATGGCACTAATACGAAATAAGGTTTTGCAATTTGAGGATATAAACGGCGTACATAGCCGAACCTTTGAGGCAAGTTCAACTCTTCTCGCCCTCCAACTTTGCCATTTTCCATCCTTTACCTGATGCTTTGATTTTTCTAAGCTGTCGCTCTCATACCGCTTTCCGTGCAAGCCAGTTAAGGTATACTGTTTTTTTCTGCCTCCTAATTGCGGTTATCTCTGGGGCTCTGGTGTTCGCTGCGAACATGAGGAGTTGACACAATCCCCTTGCGGCGGACAAATTTCTGGTTGTTATCCAGCCTACTGTTTGATATCCGTTTTCAATCATCTGTTTATTCTCGAGCTATCTGTTACGAATCGACCGGCGGTTTTCACCGAATAAGGAAAGTTACTTCGTCTCCATAAACAGCGTGACTCTTTGAACTACTAGTTGGTCGTTCCATCCGCCTGAACGACTGATCGAAATGGTTCTATGAACTCGAAGGATACATAGCGGAATTTACCACCGTGAATGGAGCATTTTGCTGTCTGCTTTCAGCCTTTCCTTTTTTACTGTTGCTTGGTGCGAGTCAAAAAAGTCCCAGGCTAATTCTATAATGTCTCTACCGAGGATCGAAAACATCCTGGCACTGTATTTTGTTGGTATGTGTTTACTACTATTTTAACTTTTCCCTTTTCCGGATACTGTCCACCTCGCACTCCGCCCATAAGAATTGATCTAATTGCTTATCCAGTACACCTGGCGACGCACATTTTTCCTTCATACTATCCAGGTATTTGAACAGACTATATAACCCTAAGGCGCAGCTTGAACACCTGTTTTCGACTTCCTCGACAAACTTTGCTATTTGGTGAATGTTGACCGTTACCTAGGGGCAACGCTACACTCTGTGACCGCTTTTCTGCTGCTTTGCACTCAGCAGAAGGTGATAGAAGTATTATTTTGAGATGTCAGTCGAGGCATGTACTTTTGAGCCACTGAGTCTCGGTGGGCAGCGCTTATCACAATGATCAACGAGATTGTATGTCGCAATCCATTCAGGCATCCAGTGCTTCCACATGACCCACTTACTGTGCTAAATCTCTCAACTTATAGCTGTTTTCTCGGAACTGTGTGCGCCATTTCTTGTTGCCTGGTTCTCAGGTGATTCGGTTAAGGGGTCTCAGAACACAAGAGATCATTCATCAATCAAGGCTAATCTACTTGGGAACTGATCGTAGTTTCGCTTACTGTTAGCAAGCATTTGCCAACACTCGTCAGGGGCGCAAGTCTCTGACTCCAACTTACACGGCCCTGAGTTCAACTCCACAGTCCCAGTCGGGCGAAACAGTCGTCCAGCTCTTTCCCGCCGGGCTGTGATTGTAACCAAGCAACTAGAAACACCGTTAAATTTGGGAAAAGCGCGTTTCTGTATCTTGTATTCCGCACTCACTACGTCTACTTTCTGTCAGATATTCGATTTTCTGGCTCTGTTTTTTCTACGCCAGTGAAGCCATTTTACAAGCGTTCCGCTGTATAGCTGGTTTACCGGCCATTGTTCCCCACCGCTCCTGCATCTCCACCTTTTCAATCTCATTGCTAACTTTCAGCTTTGCTTACTGTCCTCTTGTTTGACCTTGCTCCATTGGTCTTAATCTGCTCTCACTCCTGCCTTGTTTGTTTGCCCTATATGTAGTCTTTATTGCGTAGTAGTTATATTAGAATGACTGGAGTGAGCTTCTGTGGTCTATGCACCATCACGAACTGTATTCCGCCACCTCTTCCCATCGTTTTTGCGCACCTCGTGTTAGTGGAGTTAGTCATTCATCGTTTCACTCATCTGCCATTTTCCCCTCATCGACAGGCCGTGAGCACCCGGTTCAAATTCAACATCCACGAGGGTGGTCTGACTCTGCTTCGCCCCACTTGGTACGATGAATGGCAGCGAATCAACGCGTTGGTGGAGAAAATTGCACCGTCCTCCGATGGAACTGATTTTGCCATGAAGAAACGTTCAGAAGCGATGTACTATTTACAGCACACGTGGCACTCTCGACACGACTATTGGCTGCTTGCCGCAATCCACGTGCACGGTTACTTTCGATGGGCGGACATATTGGCGGACCCTAGGTTCCATCTGTTGAATACTGGGCTGGAAGGTGTTCTGGCCGATATGGAAGGTCAAACTCAACCAACCGGGGGTATGTTTTAGCCGAATTCAATGTTTCCTCAGGTCTTCGTATCGGGCCGCGGCTCTACACTTTGAATCAAACGATTGTGGTGACCAGATCGTCCCGGGTGGCTGTTTACGGTATATATGCGTATTAACTATCGTTGCTGCACCCTGCTGGGATAGTTCCTTGCGTAGGACGCTGTTAAAAACCATTTGACTCGTCGTGATATCACACTTTGCCGACGGACAAATGCGCGTCACCAGACAAAGCGACTAATAAGCCCACGTCACGTGACTGTGAGCTGAGATCACACGATGGACGACAATGTCGTCAGTACCAGGTTACGTGATGGTACTGTGAGATCAGAAAACCGTTGGATTTGGTGTGTGTTTTCACCCAATAAGCACAAAGGCGACTCGACTTGAGAATAGTACTCCCTACGTATGTCATCTGCTCTGTTGGTTGGGCGTCTCTGTCAATCGGACCACAACACATCTACACCTTTTCCCAGCCAAGTGCATGCTCAACGCTTTCAATTTATTTAAGGAAATCATGCTCCTCCAGAGAGCCCTCAAGAGGGTCCTTAATGCTCCCAATTTGCATTCAACAGACTTAAATACTCTTAAAATACACACACTGTTCGTTGAGTAATCAATCCCAAATCAGACCATAATGTTACAGATGAGGTCACAGAGTGAGATGCTTTTGACTGATTTGGCACTTGTCGCTCAATGAACAGTAGCATTTAGGGGCGTTCACTCTCGCTAGATGCAACTTGGTGACGTTTAGTGCCATCTTGAGACATCTATGGAGGAACATGATTTCCTTAAGCAGGCATTTGTGAAAGCGTTAGAGATGCAATTGACTACGAAAAGGTATGGTTGTATGAGGTCGCGCCGTTTCCAGTGATGTGGAAAGATTAGTTGGGGAACTTGGTCGGGTTAATATTGGCCCTCTTCCCAAACTAGGACCTCGGTATAGGTCACCTGTTTTGAGCTTCCTCTTGTATGTGGCCTCCGTATTCGGTCCTCTGTACTTAGCTGTTATTACTTCACCCCGACCAATTTTGCTTACCTTTTTCTCAGCTCTTTTTCCTTTTATTCCGATCTAAGTTTTCTTCGTTCATAACTGCTAATTTTTATTCCATTCGCTCCACGACTATCATATGTTGGATAATGCATCGAAACGTTAATATTGCCGATTACGAGTTCTACTTTAAAGAAAACGACCTGACTCCTTTTGCGCTGAACATGTTACCCAGTATTGAAAGTTGACACGCAGCGTTGCTTATCATCAGTACCTGGTCTGTCATTGACCTTGACATGCGGCGACCCATCACGTTATGTAGATCTCTTCAAGCAACCAGATAAGTAACCGGCCAAGTGCCAGCCGCCTTTCCTCCATGACTCATAGAGCAACTCACTTTTTGGAAGCGTCGGGAACACACCTTTTATTCTGGCTCCTTTACTCTCCGGCTTCTTTCGAAAGTATTACGGCCTGTTACTATTTGTTTTTGTTAAAACACGGTCAGAAGCTTTACTCGATGGTAAACGCCATCAGTAATTGTCTCAACACTATGTCAAGGCAGGCCGTTGAAGGGATGTCCTAGCTATCTACTCGCTGGTTCTGTTTGGTTTAGCATACTCTAAATTTCGGATAGATTACTCTCATCGCAGCCTCCCGTATCTGCTCCCAACTGTTAAACCCTCTGAATCCTATTGAATCACAACGACCGCATCTGTATGGATGAAGATAGTTTCTACTCCATTGGCACACACATCGATTAGTAGTTCACTAATACCAACAGAGCCAGCTCGTAGCTTTAAGGATCACATGCCTACCTTGTAATATGAGGGAGCGGATTCGAGCCTGACTAGAGACCGAGCGACCCTCTCGGTATCCTTACCCCACGTGTTACCGGTGGTGGTTGCGCGGCGGCGAAACGTCTGTACAGCGCACCGTCATATTGCTGGTGCCCTTTTTTACAGAACACCCAACCTGGAAACCTTGGCTGTATTGTCCGCTTGTTGCTTACCGGACTTGCCTGCTGCAGCTGTCATTTATTAAAAGTGGTTAAGTAAATTTCTTCCGAGAAACTTGCATTGCCGTGTTTCCGTGAGTGTTGTTTTGTTTACCACTGCGTTTGACCTTCAAGTCTTGCGCTGTAGTGATAGGCGTTTTGTCCCGCCGAAGCTATTGTTCCCCCTGTTGCAGATTACATTCGCATCTTCTAAGCTGCACTCGATTCCTTCAAATGTTATTATCCCCAACTCTGATTTTGTAACTCCTCTCCCCCTTACGTCCTTCAATTACTACGCTCGTCCATCACCTAGCTGCTCTAGGTTTTGGCTGCACTCATACTTCATCTCCCATGGCTATGGGTTGAAGGCTTCTTGATCCGCCATCATAATAACGCTTCTGTCATAGCATTCTCTTTCTCAGCCTGTCTTGTAGTATAGCCGCGACTACATATCGGGTTGCAGTAGAATCTTGACTGCTGGCAGCTATATCCTTGTTCTGCGACCGAACGAACGCTGAACCGGAGTTGCTCCTATCTCAGTAGACGGGGCGTTTCTTTTTGGCAACATAAGGTAGTGATCCCCCTGCGTTTCTCTGGTGTTCGTGAGTAGTTTCTTTGCCTCTTTTACTGCAGACTCAGTTTTTCCGTTCGATTGGCTGTGATGTAAACTGGTGAGCCAGTGAAGGAAATCCCATTTCTCACTGAAAGCACGGCATTCTGCGCTAGTGAACTGCGATCCGTTATCCGAGGTCTCTTTTCCAGGTATTTCATGTCTAGCGAATCGGCATCGTAACTTGTTCACAACGGCTTGCGCACTGATTGTAGTTAGGGCACTGGTCTCAAAATACTCACTAAAGTTGTCCACCACAATTAAATAATTGCTTCCTTCATGGGCAAACTTATATACTGTGGCTTTTTGCCTTAGTCTGTCTGATACTTCACGGATCATCGTCTGTTCTTTCGGTTGTCACAGGTCACGTGTTCTGCAGGTTAAGTAGTTTGATACGTAATCCCGTATTTGGCTGGACATTCCTGGTCATCACATCAGTTCCGGCGCTCTTGACACGCAATATATATATATATATATAGTTGTTTATTTATTTATTTATTCACAAGTCTGTAAACAGACAAATGTGCTATCCGAACCATAGTGGTATGGAAAGGAGAATCTAAGGATCAACGGTGAGAGAGAGCGAGTAAAACGTTAGAAAAACATGTATTTTTTCAGTTTCACACGCCGTTTTTAGTTTTTTTCTGTTTTCATGTTTTGTTCAACATTAAAAAGCACATGATGAAGAGATGCTAGAACAGCATTGACACCACAGACTCCTATTTCGGGCCATATCCTCCAAGACTTCCAACCCTTAAGAATCCACTTCACGTGGTCCCCAGCGTGGAAGACGCACAGACCCAACTGACGCTAGACACGAAGTCAGGATCTTCATACTCCTTTTCCAGGTCATCGGTTGTTTGCCGCGGCTCTTTTTCCATTCGCGTCCAGGAAGTGCAAATGATGTGCGACCTTGAAGGCGGTGGGCCGGCATGCGCAGTACGTGACCAAGCGAACACAATTGGTGCTGGATGACTATGCACTGGAGACCAGGACTGTCCGCTCCCATGATTCTGCTTCTAACTTCCGCGTTGCTCACATGGTGCTGCCACCATACGCGAGCAATCGAACGCAAGCAGCGGTTGTCGAAAGTGGATAGTCGTCTCAAATCTTCCGATCGTACATGCCAGGTCTCGCAACCGTACAGTAGGACAGCACGGACTGTGGCATTCTACACTCGGCCTTTGAGCTTGAGACTGACATCGCGACGACGCCACAAGTGTCTCGGGTTAGAAATGCAAGGCGAGCTTTGGCAATTAGTTGTAAAATTTTATCGCCAGTGCCGCCACTTGCCGTAATGCAACTCTCGAGGTAAGTAAAGTTGTTAACGAGCTCCATGCTAACACCCGAAGTGGTGAGCGTAGGCAAAGGAGCCTGTCAATCCTGAAGCAAAGCTTTACACTCGGATGGAGCAAGATACAGACCGTAGTCAGATGTCTCTATCGCTAAGCGGCTCGGAATGTTTTGAACATCCTGCGAGTCGTCGCCCAGCAAAGCGATGTCATCGGCATAGTCCAGGTCCACGACTACTCCCGGGTAGAAGCTCAACACCGCAGCTCTGGGCTCCTTCCAATGCGCGATGTAGGACATCTTCACTGGCAAAATTGAACAGGAACGGCGAGATAGGACAACCTTGGCGCACTTCACTGGTAACGAGAAAGGAAGAAGAAAGCCTTACATAAGCTCTAACTTTGCCAGAGGTATGACTATACAGCTCTTTCAAGAGTTTGACAAACTTGTCGGGAATGCCTTTCCGTAGCAGATAGTTCCACAGTGACGACCTATCTATGGAAACAAAAACGACTCTGATATCCAAAAACAACACCATTGTTGGTCTTCGGTGGGCATGACGATGTTCGAGAATTTGACGCAACGTGAAAGTTTGCTCAATGCAACCATGGCCAGAACGAAAGCCAGCCTGTTCTCACCACACAAACTCGCGGGTAACTGAGAGCCTACGCAGCAGAATGGACACAGAGCGCTTGGACCCGACAGAAATAAGTAAGATTCCTCGGTAGTTGGTGCATTCACTACGAGAGCCCTTCTTGTGGCTCGGAACCACAACAGATTCTCCCCATGAGTTAGGAACCTTCTCATCGCTCCATACTTTTGTGAACAGTGATAGAATTTCGGTGACAACTAAGTTCTCGTCATCTTTGATTAAGGCCAGAGGAAGACTGTCAAGGCCAGGAGCTTTGTGGCGTTTCAGAGTCTGGATTTCTCTCCGTATTTCTGCTTCAGTGGGCGGATCTATGCAGACTGACCAAGGATTACATGATGGCAGTGAATGTGTAACCGGAGGTTGTGTTGGGCAATTAAACTGTAGAGCAAAGTACTCTGCCCAGCTATCCAAGCGTCTGCGTAGGTTGGTGATCTTTGTACCGTCTGACTCACAGA